TTTTTTTTTTTTTTTGCATTATTTAAAATACAATTTCAATCAAACTATTATGACCACCTGAGTTGTAACAAATACATTTTTAGTAACTGACACATTTGCAATTTCATTATAAATTTAATTAAATAAATGCCGAACTATATTTCACAATGATACCAGAAATTTTGTAAAGCGATCTTTGTGTATGTAAAATTTATTTTACTATAAAATAAAAAATGTAATAATAACTCTTATGTAACTCTATGCACACAACTCTATGCAGTCATAAAAGTATATTCAAAATTTTAAGCAAAAAAAATGTCAAAAGTTACATTTTATGCTAATGGATAATTGAAATACGAATATGAAACAACAGATATATTTTTTGCATTCATACATAATTCACTGTTGGTGTATAAATATAATGAGAAAACATTTAAAGTTTATTTATAAATACCATACTTAAATTAGAAGAGGCAATCAATAATCACCCACTTCATCAGATTGAATAAATCACAATAAAGAAATCAATTCTTTGTGCAACGAACAAATGCAAAACAGACAGTAAATAAGAGAAATCATAAATGTAACCTGAAATTGTTGTCGGATAAAATAAATTAAATTTAGTTATTTAACAATTTAATTATATTTATGTAAATAATTTTGTATTTTTTTCTCTTTCTAATGCAGAATGGCAAAATAGACCGTGGTCTTTTTATGCCATAAGGGCAGCACCGACGTTACTCACATTGCACTACCCTGGAGGGGGGGACTTGAAGATAAGCCATGGACGCGGAGTAACAATGCCCCCGTAACGCTCTACGATACTATTAGGATCGGGACCTACGGTTTAAAGTGGATTCGAACCACTACAAACACCCATGACTACGTCGGGATTTGAACCCGATGCCTGTGGTACCGAGCGCCAGAGCGCTAGTCACTCGGCCATCAGACCCTATTTTGTAATATTATATAATACTTTGGGGCATGACGGTTGAGTGACTAGTGCTCTGACTCTCAAATGCCACAGTTTTCGGCTCCGAGTCTCGGCGGTGCCATGGATGTTTGTAGGGAATCAGAATCCACTTTAAACCGTAGGTCCCGGCTAATATGACTGTAGAGCGTTGGACGTAAGGCCGACAAACCCTACCCCGTAAAACAAAACATATGCCCAGAAATTTGTCCCACCATGGGGCTGCTGCCCACTGATGATGATATAATACGTTATTAGCTGTAAATAAATATATATTTATTACTAACAACTTTTGATTTAAATTTTATCTGTAGATGCTATCACATCATTTATGCTGAAATATTTTATTTGATATAAATAATAGAATGATATAAACAAGAATTTCGTGAAAGAGTTTAATTATTAGAAAACTAATATATTTTATATTGATTAAAGGAATTATTATAAAATATATTAGTTGAATTAATTATGTACATTAAAAACATAAACAATTTTAATATTTAATTTAAAAGCATGTTCATTTATTAAAATATATAAATTTTTTGCAAACTTTACTTTAAATGTCATGATATCCTTTAGCATAATTATTTTTATTAATTTTACTTTAAAAGATAAAATCTTTTATAATAATATAACAAGAATTGAAATTGAAATGAATTTCAGTATAAATATAAATATTTAATTTGGACAATAAAGTTAAACATATTAGAAAACTTATCTGTACATATATTTATTTAAGTAAAATCAAAGTTTGCCTTTAGTAATAATATCCATTTAGATAATCAAACTCATGCCGGAATACATCCTTTGAAATTTCAGAATATCAGATATTATACATTCAATCGCATATCTGCATTAAGATTGAAATTTATGTTCCAGCATCATATGAATGATGAGTTATCGGATAATTCTGAATGCAACAAGATATGCAATTCTAATATTTCTGATCACTTTATTTACTGAGTAATAACAGAGAATATTGAGGGTGGCAAATGCCACTGACCAATTTGTTTATGGTCATCATGGAATGTATGTAAAGGAGTCCTGATTATTGGACCGATGGAATCTCTGGTAAGTGTATTAGATGAGCTGGATGTATCATCAGAACTGATATTGCAAACATCTGCAGTGGTATTAATATTAGTGTAATACATAATATTGAGTTTGATGCTTCAGCAATATATAATTAATCGCAAAAAGTTATGTTGTTGTTGATGATACACTGCTTAAAAAAAAAAAATAGAAGGACAGTGTTTTTTTGCCAATTAATGTCTCTTATTTTCTCTTAATTACCAGATATTTATGAAGATTTAGTTTAATGAACCTTTTTTTTTTTTTTTTTTTTCATTTTAGGCAAAAATTAAACATCTACCACTAATATTATTAATAAAATTAGTATATATAATTTCCGATGCGTAAAAAAGTAGAAGGATACTTGCTAATATATTTAATTTAGTGAGTTGTTCTTTAGTTAAATAGTGATTTTGTACTTTGTTTTATCCTTTTCTGTCAAAAAAATCTAATTTGTTTAAAAGTTACGCTGTTTTTTTTCCGTTCTCAGAAATGCCTAAAGGAATACCTTTGAACGATTTTCAAAAAGGCCACATTTCCGCATATCAAAATGATGGTAAAGGTGTCAGAGAGATTGCTCGATTGTTGCAGATCAGCCCCAATACAGTTTCAAACTTTATCAGAAATCCTTATAAAAATGGAAAGAAAAAGAAAACTGGTAGACCGAAAAAGTTAACACCACGTGATGAAAGAAAACTTGTTCGTGTGCTTAAGAAGAACAAAGGAAGTGTTTCAAAGACAAGAAATCAAACAGGACTTAATCATGTGACGAAACAAACAGTTTACAACTATATTAAAAGATCTAAAAATTCATTTTCAAAAAACGGAAACATCATCCTAAGTGGACACAAGCTCACATTAAAACTAAGGAGCACATGTCCTGGACTACAGAATGGACTTCTGTGATATTTTCCGATGAAAAGAAATTTAACTTAGACGGTCCAGACGAATATCAGCACTACTGGCATTGTCTGGGGAATGAAGACGAATATTATTCAACACGACAAATGGAAGGAGGGAGTTTAATGGTTTGGTTGGCTGTTGGATACGGAGGAAGGACAAGTCTAGTTTTCTTAAATGGTAGGCAAAAACATAGAGACTACATTCAAGTGCTGAATTCCGAGCTTCTTCCTTGTGGTTCTGACTTGGGGGTGAAGACGGAGGCAAGACGGAGCTTCCCTTCACACCGCGACTGGAGTCAAAAACTGGTTCCTAACAAATAATATGGATGTTTTACCATGGCCAGCCAAAAGTCCTGACCTTAATGTAGCGGAAAACATCTGGGCAATGCTAGTTAGTCGAGTTTATGCTGATGTAAGGCAATTTTTCGCTAACTCAGCTTCGAGAAGCATTGAATGACTCGTGGGACAATTTTTGTCAAACAGAAGTTCAATCTCTATACAATTCACTTCCAAACAGAATATTTGAAATTATAAAGGCCAATGGGAAGAACATTCCTTATTAAAATCACTATTTTTTCATTCATTATAATGCTGTCCTTCTACTTTTTTTTTACAAAGTTTCAAAAAAGAGAAACTATTTTTGTTGCCATTAATATTTTATGTTTGGATATCATAATTCTGATGTTAAAATTGTATTTTTAAAATATTTGTAAAATGTTTCTAATAAAAAATTTTAGTAAAAATAAAATATTTTACGGTTATTGTTACAAAATCAAGTGTCCTTCTACTTTTTTACGTAGTGTAGGTGTTGTTGATATGTGTAAGTTACGATAAAATATGAAGTTTCTGTTACATATGTGAAAAAATATTATTTGTTTCAAATTCTATATTATTGATCAGAAATGCATAATCGTTATTTTTGATATAATATGCTTCTTCGTTCATTATATTTGTCACTTCGTTCTGATAAATCCAAGAGCTTTTATTCCAATGAAATGCATTTGATTTTTTTTTAAAAGAATCAATTTTTTCTACTTTTTTTCCCAACTATAGAAATTGAAGATTAATTTTAATATTTTTTTAACATTCTACTATTAATTACATGTTAATCTAATTGTAGCCTATTCAAATTGTCACTTTTTTTTGTTATTCGATTCTCTAACACTATTATTTTAAATTATACAAAACCACACACTTAAATTAATATATATAAATTTATGTTATAAAAGGTTATAAAAGGAGTCCTGATTATTGGACAGATGAAATCTCTCGTAAGTATCTCTAGTCAACAGCATATAACTGCTTGCAAAAAAAAAATATGTTGTTGTTTACTTTATATTGATACATGAAATATAAGATAAATTATGAAATTCCTGCTACATATGTGTAAAAATATTATTTGTTTCAAATTATATATTATTGATTAGAAACGTACAATCGTAATTATTAATAGAATATGCTTTTTTGTTCATATGCTTTTCACTTCTTTCTGCTAAATCAAAAATTTTTTGCAATGAAACCCATCTGATTTTTAAGAGAATCATTTTTTTATTTTTTACCTTTTTTTCTTCCAGCTGCAGAAATTTTAACATATTTTTTTTTTTTTTTAATTATCTACTCAAATATTTTTTTTCCAGTTTAATCTATTCTATCCATAATAATGTAATCAAGTTTTCATCCTATTATTCGATTTGCGAACACTATTATTTTAATTAGAAATTTATAAATGTTATAAATACCCAGTTGTTATAAAATTTATCAAGATCAATAGTAAACAATAGTCTGTTGTTGTTGTTGTTTCGTATCCCACTTGGCTGGCCAAGCCCACGAGCTCATACGTACTCATGATTGAAGGGAAGGAAGCAGCTTCTGTTGTGATGGAGCACCCGTAGGTAGAAGTCTGACTTTTGGCTCCGTGACGCTCTTACAGTCATAGGAGACAGGGACCTACGGCTTAAAGTGGATTCCAAACCACTACAAACATCCATGGCACCGCCGGGATTCGAACCCGAAACCTGTGGCTCCGAGCGCCAGAGCGCTAGACACTCGGCCATTCAGGTCCCAAATTTGTGAATGCCAACGGCACGCGGTGTTCCCAGGTGGTCACCCACCCAAGTACTGACCGCGCCCAATGATGCTTGACTTATCTAACGAGAACCGGTATATTCAGCATGGTATTTGGCATAGTTAAACGGATGATGGAAGACGTTACTGTTTTATTGGATATATTTTATTTTATATTATACTATTATATTGTTGCACGTTTTGAATTGTATTACATTACGATATTATATTATTGGACATACTAATTGAATTGCTTCGGGTCCTGTAATCTAGCAAATAGGACTGGCATGGTTTATAATGTCTTTAGAGTATAAAATTCTTGATTAAGATATCTTTAGTTTATTATAATTAATTCTTGGGGTTATTTTTGCTGATCGAATTTTTATCTCACCATATTTTTTTAAATATGTAAGTTTTCTCTAGTATTCAATCCTTAGGGATGATCTTTTGAAGGAAAAATAATTTGATTACAATAAACCTTTTTTAAAACTAATTTTAATTAATTTAAAAAACACTTTTTGAAGTTACATGCCAAAAAGTTATAAGAAAATTAATTATTAAAAGAAATATAATAAATTTGATTTATCCTAGAAATTCATTGAACCTGTGAAAATCTGTATTCATTCATCAAGTAAGACTGCAAAGCATGAATGAATATATGAATATTTTAAGATCTACTTTCTTAGTTAATATTAATATTTTATGTTAGATTTCTTAAAGGTATTTTTATAATTAAATAACTACATTCTTTTTTTTTTGTAAATAAATAAAAATTTTACATCATCTTTCGTTGTTTTTTTTTTTCATTTCAATCAAAGGAGAATAGATATTAAAAACATTCAAGATTAAGGACTAAAACATTTTGTCTTTTTTTCATCTTTATTAGGTTTCTTTATCTGTATAAATTAATTTCATTTATTCGTTGACATTTCTGAATTATTCATGTTTCATTAATAAATATTTGCTTCAACTCATAGAACTGTTGGTTCTAGGTATTATTTTTATTTCTCATTTTAATGTAAGCATTTGAAATGCTCCAATCTATTTTTTTCACAGTTTACATGGAATTTCTTTGTAAATTAAAAATTTGAGGATAAATTAATTTTTTTCGAATGTAATCTAATTAATTTTAAATTAAATGAATTAAAAATTAGAAGTTTATTTTTTTCTATGTTCTCACCATGAATGACATGTTTGCTAGAGTTAATTAACGAAATAATTTTATATATATATTATATATTTTATATATATTTATATATATTTATATTATATATATATTTTAATATATATATATATATGTATATATATACATATATTAACGCTAGCAATATTTTTAAAACTTTTCTTTTAATAAAATGTCTTTAGTGTAATGCATTTTATTAAGGTGATATATTAAAAAAATATATAATTGCATGATACTGAAAAGAAATTACTTGCAAAAATTAAAAGCGAAAGATGCATTAATTAAAATTCTTCATTGAAGACACTAAAGCATTCGACAGGTTTTGACGTTTTTTACAACAACATATAACTTATTTAGGCAATATTATTTCATTTAATTTTTCTCTTTTCTTTTTGTATGGAAGTTTTCGTTACAATTAGTTGGGAAGTCAAAAATAATTTTTTCATCAGAGAAATAATTGTGTCGAATAATTCTGTCTGTTCGAATAAAAATAATTTAGAGGTTCCATTTAGCACAGAATAAATTAATTCAATACCTTATATAGAAAAAAAATACGAACGAAAGTTGATAAGGTTATTAATGCCAAATAAAATGAATATGACAAATTAAATACATTGGTTAAATATTTCCAGCAAAATGTTTAATAATTCATTTAATGTGAAATCTAAGCATTTAAATCTAAAATACATCAGATGTAATGTATTAATCTAAATTAATAAATTGTATTCTAGTCAATTATGCTTTATAAAACTTTTGATTAAAAAATTGCTGTCGCTTTGTCAATGCCATTGCAAAATACTTGTTTTGAAAAATGGAATTAATCACAACTGCTAAAACGATAAATGATGGCGTAATCTTGAATATTACCTTAGGTATTTCAATCTACGAGACTGACCTTCAAGAATAAAAATAATATTCCTGAGGCACTAAATCCACGGAGAAACTTCTTCTGAATATAGCTTGCTGTCCTCTGATAAATTGAAAAAGATCTCCGACTTTTACAATTTTGGACAATCACATCGATCATTTTTTATATAGTAGTTGCGTAACTATTTCCTGCTCTATGCTATCGAACATATATGTCAACTGAGTTGAAAAATTGAAAAATACAGAGAATTTTTTTAAGTTTAATATTTCTAGAGATATAAAGGTATTGTGGATAAATAATAAATGTAGAAACTTTAAAAAAATTGCTTTGTGGTAAAGGATTTATATTACTATACATTTTGATTTTATGGTTATTAACTGATGTTTTTCGAGTATTAGTCATAATTTAATACACGTCGATTTTATCTTAAAATATGGATTGCATAGTTAACCTGCATTTTGAAGAAAACTCATTGAAGCTCTGCTATAATTCTTTAACACTTGTGGTATATTGAGCCAGAAACAGTCTGTTGATTAGCAAGAAGGGTTTCTGAATAGAAGACTTAAGTTCAAGATCATCAGGAAGTATAACCATCTGAATATTTCTATCTATACGCTATAGATAGGATATGATAAAGTAAATCAGATAATTTCTATATTAAGTTTGTGCCTCCAAATGCATTGGAGGATCCTTACAAATTATCCAATTTCTAGGGATAATTTGTAAGGATAATTTGTAAAATTTTACCCATGGGAAGAGTTGTGTCATTTCATTCTTAGGACAGATGAATGTATATTATTTGAATTAACAACTTATCACTCAAATTTGACAGTAGATAAGCATTAAAAAGGGGAGTGATATTACATACAATTAATATTTTGTACTAATGAGAACAGCCTGTCACTCACATCTGATAACAGATATTCAGTGTCATGGATAAGACCTCATGAAATTAGCGATTGTCTGTGGGAACTTCACAGGTTGAAACAATTACAGATGGAATATGGACTACGCCATGAGTTGTTGCATCGTGATTGGTGGTTGACCATGGGCTGAGAAGATGACTATTCCAATGAAAAGTGAGGGAAACTGACGATCTTGACGTATTTTCTTAAAAGGAGGTTTTTGTTGAAGAAGAAAGAAATTCTGCGACGAGTCGACAAAGAGTATTGCTTTTTCTTTATCTCCGAAGTGACGGAGCATGCCAGAGTATCCGTCTAGACCTGGTAAAAGAGATTCGACGTAGACTGGATGCTATTAAGATCTCCGACCTTGGAGTGAATTGCACTTGTGAATCAAATTATTTTTAATTTTCCTCTTTTATGTGAATAATGTTCTGTATATATATTTAATGTTTGTAAATAAAAATTAAAGTGCTCCCATGAACTTGAAATGGCCCTCTTCTTGAAGCCGTAATACGTCTAGTATAGACCGAGACGTTACAGTGGGGACATCTTAAAGATCCAAGCTCTTGAAAGCATTTGCAATCTTTCTTTCATGATGATACGACTCTCCCAACTCCTGTAATCGTCTCGACCTGAAAGTCGCACAATATTCTGTAATTTCATGAGGTCTCATTATCCATGACACTGAATATCTGCTATCAGATTTGAGTGAGATGTTGTTCTCATTAGTACAAAACATTAATTGCATGTAATATCCCATTTTTACTGCTCTTCTACTGTCAAATTTGAGTGATAATTTGTTAATATATACTTGTCAAAGAATATACATTCGTCTTTCCTGAGTATAAAATACCACAACTCTATTTTAACCACAAGTTATCTATAGGATCGTAGCTTTTTCTCACAAACTCAGTGCAAGAATTATCTGGTTACTTTTAACTCAAGAGGTCACTACATTATAGATATAAATAAGTCTGATCTAATTAAATTTATTAACGTTTATGCATTCGGTATTTTTTGTTAAATACATGCATAAATTATCTAAACAATTTAATCCAAGATGAAAGTAAATGTTTTTCTTATAAAAGGTTATAAGTATTCATTTAAAATGAACACTGGAAATCTTTAATTAAATGCGACACAACTTCTCTTAATTTAAATGTCAAAGAGGTAATTAAAATTACCAATCCGAGAAGATGTTATTTAACTGAGCAGAATACAAACTTATAATTGAAAATGAATATTTTAATTGAGATTAGCTGCATTCAAGTGTAGAAATTAATTAAATTTTCTAATTAAATTAAAAACACTTGTTGCATTTATTCCACTAAATCTTGTAGATTTGGTTTCATCAATTTAATATATGAATCACGGCACAGTTGTACCTTTGATAATCAAATCTATGTTAATCAAAATTCATAAGCAAATTTTAATAATGTAATTATTAAAATTTGCTTATGAATTTTGATTAAGCATATTTAAAGCTATAATGTATAAATAGGAACGAAAAGTAGACTTCTGGACTTCAATAATCATAATCATATTTAATGATTGGGAATTTCCAATCGATTCGCAAAATATATATTTTGAAATATAGTTTCAAAATTGTTCTGTTTTCATCTACATTTTTAATTTCGATACTTATTAACCAAATAAATTAAATTATATATTCACACTAATTACAAATTTCTTAGTATATTTTCGTGCATTTTAAACTACTTATTTATTAAATAGTTATATATTATCAGATTGTTAATTTTTTTTTTTTTTTTTTGAAATGATAATTTTTTACTGATAATTACGATTATAAATGTATAAATGACGAAATTTATAATTTTTTATAAATGAGATAAGTAATTTTTTAATTAATTTAAGAATATTTTTGAAGTCTTTTAACCTGTGGATGTCTTAATTGGGCAATGATTTAAATGAAATATGAAATCGTAAGCCATCAGAATGTTTCCTGCTGTAATACACTATAATGGTAATAGTTATTTAAAAGAACAAGTTAATAATTTTACATGAATTATTATCATGTCAAAATTCGAATATAAATTTTTTTGTCTATATTTATTATATTTATACTTTTTACGTAATTTTCTGTTATTGTTGAATTTTTTTAATATTAATAAAATAAAATTAAGCTAAAAATATTTTA